CATACTCGGTCAAGCTTGGCTATCCTGAAGTTTGCCAAGGGATTGAGCTTCTCGTTCTTTTCCAGCATTTCCCAATACATGCATCGTCACAGGACGTCACACCACTTTAAAAAGTGGGCCAGAGCGGAACATGTCGCCCGGGTCAAAATTGCCTTTCTTAATCTTGCCAAATCACTCGAGAAGCACCTGATACCCAGGCAGAGCGCAGGTAGCCCGAGCGCTTCCCGTGGCTTTTGACCGCTTTCTCGCCGAGAGTGGTGAACATGCTAATTTTTGCCACCCTAGAATGTTCTATTGGGAAGCATGAATTTGGGGAAATTTTGGTTGCAGAACAAATGCTGGTACAACCTTGGCAACCCTTTGACACGGCATATTACGATGGTCCCTATCAAGAATCAATGAAATTGGTGTCAATTAGGAGCCCCTATTGAAAGCTTTGAAAAATCATAGAACTCGATTTCAGCAGGTCATCTTATATTGAAAACCCGGCCCAGCAACTTCGTCCTTTGTTTACAGGACAGCTAAAGCCGGAAAAGTTTGAAGAAGTCAGTCAGCAGATCAACTTTCTGTTGCTTCTGGTGAATCGTTTCGCCGAAGCGAAGCTCAGCCCGATGGAATTCGCCTACCTCAAACTAGTCTCGTTCACTTCTAATGGTTAGTTCTTTTACCTATTCGGTCATAAAACCACTGGTCTCAGACATTTCTTACAGACATTCCAACGTCGACATGCGCCAGTGACACACGGCCCTTGAACGTGACTGCTTGCCAGGAGCTGTACGAGCATGTGATGGCGTCGTCATCGAGTGATGACTCGACTTCTGAAGACAACGAGACTCACGTGACGGCGACTTCGGTCGGCGCGGCTATCGAGAGGTATGCGTTGGCCTTCTGTAGTGTCTGGAACCAAGTAATCAAATGGGTTACCTTCAGGTATTCTCGACTACTGCAGCTGTTGCCGAATCTGCGGTGGTTCCGTGAATCGGTGCTTGTCGAGCTGTTCTTTTCTGGCCTGATCGGGAACCTCTCAATTGAGACGGTGATTCCATTCGTGTTGAAGATGGATGTGATGAACGTATTCGAGCCATCTCAAGGCTCTGATTCCATTCTTCCAAGCGCTAGTTTAGCCCGAATCCTCTCCGGCAACTAGCTCACTCCACCCAACTGAGCCTTTCATCGTCCATTCATTCGAATACTCATCATCCATTCATTTTTCATCACTACTACTACAACCTACAAGAAATGTTGTACATACAATTAAGTCCTTCATTCATTATAACCATATTCATCAGAAATTATGATAGTTCACTAATCGTCTTGTGCTTTCGTCTTTCTTCTGTGAGAACTTACACGTGGATCATATCCTGACTAGCCTATAGATTACTATACATATACAAATTTATTTATATTTTTATTTTATATTGATTGCCCGCGTGTTTTTGAAATTCTGGTTCCGGTGTTGACTCGTTTGCATTGTTTGAACCCAGTTCCAAATCCTTTCCAATTTCCTTGTCTTATCTTCGTCCCTTTTTTTGAATTTAATTTTTGTATTTTGTTAGAGGGTTGGCTGGAAGTCAATGCGCAGGACTGCCATGTCAGACGTTCGTTGTTTCTCCCCGTTGCTGACCACTCTCGCTGAAGGGCTTTATCGAGAGCTTTAGAGACGACCGGCTAGACACATATGCACTTCACCGTTCTGTCCCGGGTTTGGGACATCCACAGGTGGAAGCGCCAATGTGGTCGGCCGTCCGTTCACGCGCGCGCAATTCGGCCAAGATCCCGTGCTGCTCTTCATGTCTTTGCAATCTGTATCTCCAATCATCATCTTGCTTTTCCACAAAGTACCTCTCTATCGTTACCCATAATGCAATCGAGTTTCTATCTGCACTCTTCGCACCCACCACAGATCGCGTGTGGGACAGTGGACGGGTTCAGATTGGACTCGCACGATTTTAGAAACAGGATATCAAGTGGATTCCACTTCTTCATTATATGTACATTCGGTCTGAACCAGTGTAGTTTGCCGCGTAGTTTCGTTCGCTAGCGTTCGTTGGTCGAGTACAATTCCGAACCCCAAGAAAAACTCATAGGTGTTGCAATGCCGTTTTTATAATGCTTATACTATTATACCTAATAAAGTGATGGTTAATGTAATGTATTTTTTTCATAGTGATAACAGAGTTTTCCGGAATGATCAGTCTCTTTTGGTGTGCGCCGCGCATTTCAATTCCACTTAGCATTACTTTAATTTTGAATGTGCTATGGCTCACGCAATGCCTTCTGACAGCCATGCGGTGCACAAATGAGTGTAAATTGTACTCTTGCACGACGATTCTGAACAAAGTACCTGGAATGCACGGAAGGGCGAAAGGTTTCGTTGACCCTAGAGGAGGCCGATCTCACATTTACATTCCATATCCCAGAGAAGGAGAGTCCGTGGCTTCGTACTCATTTAACCCATTTGCGACAATGTCTGCCACCGGTGGTGAACACCGAGATGTCCGCCTGAGACCGTGTCCACCATATGTGGACGGACGGGCTTCTCATGAAATTTTTAGAAACAATTTAAGCTTTTCAAGGGGGACTTTCCCAGTGGAGCAACTCTACACACCTTTACTAATTTACGCAAATAGTGGACCAACGAGATCTTCGCTTGTAAGCGTCCTAGCCACAATCCAATTATCAGTCCTGCGTGTAGTTTCCACCATGGTCCTTTCACGGTGTTCTCTTTTAATAGTTTTTATGGCACACCTTGAGTGTATGGAAATAAATAAATAAAATATTTGTGATCGGGCTTCCCAATTTACAAGACAAACAAGTTTTCGGCAAATCTGGTGATTAGCAGTATTTTCACGCCGGCGCCTGTGGCGCGGGCGCCAGTAGGTTTCGGGGCTAGCGGATGTAATATTCGTGTGTAGGGGATCAAACTGCTGCAGTTGACAAGCTTTCAGCAAATTTGGTGACTTCGAGAATTTTGGCGCTGGAGCCTGGGGCGAGGGCACCAGGAGGTTTCAGCGAAGAATGTGTTGGCCCAGAATCGGTTGGCGCCATTCCGACACCATACGATTCCGCCGTAGGCCAAAGTGGATGTCGTTTTACAATTTGAGCGACAAATATCCTCGATATGCAAGTATTTCGTGGGAAAGCTTGTGACACTGAATCGGGGCACATTGGCGCTAAATGGCGCCAGAGGACAAAGCGAATGTCATTTTTGTGACCTGAACACAGAATAAGCCCTGCACTCGATGGCTAAGCGAAAAAAAATGAAATTTTGGGAGCACCAAAATTTTTTGGTAAAGGGTCACGAGGGACCGTGTCCACCACTGGTGGCGGACACTTGCTGAGAGCTCGCAAATGCTCCGGTCCGAACGAGCCGTTTTCGAAAAACGCGCCTGGTCGCGAATGGGGTAAACGTGGCGGCAGCTGTACTTCTGGAGGGATATTACAGCTTCGGAACGGATGCAACCATCACTTTATCCAGTACAAGAAAGGACAACACTTGGATGAAATGTAAGTATCCTACGAACAACGCATCCTACGCCAAAATAAAGTAAAGTACGCAGCCACGCCCACTCCATCGCTGGTGTGTGCAGTGTGACCCCGGCCAGGCGCGTGGTATGACTAGGAGACTTGCCACGCTCCCCTACTCTACCGCACCTGTCTTCGAGTCGTCCAGCTGCGGGTAGGGGGCGTAATATCGTTGAGAAAAAAATCGAGAAAATTCAGTTACCGAAGCCGCTTTCCATTAAAATGCAAAGACGATCCCTCCCCTCGCTGAGGATCCCCAACGTACGACGTGACAAATCGCTTGAAGGAGTCGAGAACAAGGAGCCAAAAAGATTGCACATAAGTTTCCTAAGCTGATCAATGAGATTTGGGTACGTTATCTCATCTACTAGCACAAGAAGGAAATGTGGTAGCAAGTGGCGACACGTACCACGGAGAGCGTAGCAGGCCTCGCTGTCAGGTCATCCAGCCACAGTGGGTTTCTTGAGTGGCTGGGACAATTAAGACGTATTTTTATTATGAACGAAAATCTGTAAGGGATTTGTTAGCCATTCTATGAGTTCTTCATTTCGACACTGCCGCATAACATTTTTAAAGTCCTATTTTGCGAAAGTTTCAACATTTATGAGCTATCCATTTGGAAATCAGTTTGGTCTAGAAGTATTCGATGAAATACAGCAATTTATAAATAATTGAGTAGAGCGATATTGAAGGAACAGAGTAACTTTTATTAGAAATTTTCGCCACCCATTCTGGCGAGATATACCGCTTGCGCGAGTTCACGGTGACTCAACCTATCGGGAAACGTGCATGACTCCCGCATAAAGTTGCGAAGATATAGTAAGATGGTAGATGGGGGGAAGGGGGGGGGGGGGGCGGGTCGTACCAGAGGAGGATTTTCTAAGGGGGGCGCATTTTGCAAAAACCTCCTTACCGGTAGGCGTGCCTTGTTTGACAAGCAGGCATGGTTAACTGCCATCAGTTTGTAATAGAGCAAATGTTTATGTACATATGACTTTTCTACTGAATCCCTGCGTGATGTTCGTAAACGCGAACTATTTGGAACATATGTTCATTCATGAAATTTGAAGCTCAAGTTGCTGAGCGGCTTCTTTTAGCAAAGTGCACTTATCCTTGTGGAGAGGCAGTGCAGTGTTTCCTTCTTCTTTCTCACTTAGCAAAACCGCTGGTTAATTTAGGAAAATCTAGCTTGAAAAGTCTCTATTAGTTGTCCACCCCAGTTTTGAAAAACCCAGTATCGGTATTAGTGAGACCGACAATTTCAGACCTTCACAGCCCCAGATTTCAGCGTTCCGTTCAAAACTACAATTTGTCTAGAACGTAGTACCGAGGTTGAAAATTTGACCTCAGGAGTAGTTCGTCCCTGTGCACACAAATATTGCAGCTGCACGGTGCGCCGAGGGAGTTTAGGATGTCTAAAGGCAGCGGAGTGGGGTGGGGCGCGGTAAATGGGATAGCGCTTGCTTGTGGTCGTCTGCACCCTTTCTCTCCTGCCCTCCCTCCGGGATAATATGATCCTCCCTTTCTGCTAATTCTGCCGGGGTACAGCATTAATCTCGTCAACAGATAGTATTCGCTTCCGAGGAAAATTCTTCCGAGCTGCGAAAAACTTTTTCCGGTAGTTGATTTTTCTGGCTCCGTCTAGTTCTTTTTCTCGCTCTTACCCACACTCCTTAGCCATGAGACGGAATAGACGTGGCATTCGAACAAGACATAGAATGGGTTACTTGTGGGATATTTCAATTCGAGACAACTGTCATCTTGTTCTGTGTTGGACAAAGACATGACCACAGGTTTGTAAAAAGAAAATATCACACCAAAAGCACAGCCACCGCCACTGTCAGTTTAGGTACGCAGCCGCGCCTTCCACATGTCAGGGATTTTGGGTGTAGTTGCCGGCGCCACAGATCTATCATAAAATTACAATTTCTGATAGTTAAATTCAGTAGTTGATTGGCGAAAGATTCTCTCTTCCCCCTCTCGTCCGGCTTGAGTAAACTTAATAAGATAGTAGATAGGATAGGAGGGGTCGTAGCAGATGAGGAACCTTGGGAGAGGGGGCGGGGTCGCGGTGACTTAGCCATTGCACAGATCACGATGCTGCACCCTGGAGGTAGAGCCTTGGAAAAAGGATCACTGTCGCAAACAATCAGGTGCTTACTCGCCTTCTCATGCGTTCACTGTGCACACTGTTGGTATGTCATCTCCTGGTGTTCGCGCTCCCTGTGCAGGACTGAGAACAGGCATGTGATACTGTCACCAGAGGGGGGCTCAAGGCGGTTTCGTGTCAAGTGAATGTGTAGTGTGAGGCCCGGTATGATTCCACACAACTCTACGGTGAATACAGTAGTAGACAACAGACAGACAGTACAGTATACACAGACAGAGTACACTATATACAGCATATACAGACAGATAGACAGTACAGTAGCAGACAAATTTATTAGTTCACAGAAAGATAATATCAGCAGAAGCAGAACCTTATAAAGTGTTGTGCCCTTGACCTTGAAGGCGACGTTTGGACGTTGGCTACGAAGAGCTCCTATTCGGCGACTGACGCCCGAAGAAAGGCCAGCGAGAGGTTTGCGCGGGTGTAGAGGAGAACTACCCGAACCTTATTGT